CTCTCGCTGAAAACTCTCGTCGTTGCACACCAAACCATTGTTTGCGCCACGACTCTCTTTTGTCTTCCTCCCTCTGTCCTGCCCACGCGCGCGCCACGTCTACCCCGACGGCCTGGTCTTGCTTGGACAAACAACAAACAAACATGCTGTTCGTCACCCGTGGATCTCCGCAATCTACGATCAACGGGTTTCCACCCACTTGCCTTTCTCTCTACGTAGTATAATAATAAAAAAATGTAGTGCAAGTAGCGCCGCCGTGAGGATCCTCGTAACTCACAACCGAAGTGCTCTCCGAGACGGCNCAAGAGCATATGCACAGCAGTTCCGATGTGGCATCTGCATGGCTCAAACAAGCTGTGCTTGTCCTGTAGATGATATGCACACGAATGGAAGAGAGACAGATCGTCTATGAACAACGTGTCAGTCAGAGAGAGGGCGGCGCGTTCGCCCTCTTCCTATGTACCAGTAACATACGCCTAGGACAGGAGCGGTTGAGTACGAGTCCTCCCTAACAGAGGACAGCGGTCGCATGGCGACTGCGTCTAGCGCGTTTCTCGGCATTTCGGCCAACGCGCGCGGCGTGCTGTGCATGTTCAATCAATTGTATCCGAAGGTGAGAACCAAAACTGTGCTCGATTGCAACAGCAGCAACAACAGAAAAAAATAGCAGCAACAGGGGTGTGCCCATAGCCCCCAACAGTTGAAACGAGGGGCCGACAAGAGAGAGGCCACTTGTGCCCCTCTTGTACCGAGAAAAAGAGCCCACCCCTTCCCCCAGAACATCATACCCACAGTACGGCATGTCGTTCGGGTGGTCTCTCACCGGATTATTATCACCGTGCTAATGATCTTCACATGTCGAAGGTAAGCTCCTTGACAGCCCCAATACCCGTGAACACAAGTGTGCACCATAATCATGCGAAAATCGCCATGGTGACGAACACATGTGGGTTCCTGTTACAGATACGGGTCTCCGTTCAATCTCTCCGTCCGCAACGCACAACATGCTGACCCTGCCCAAAATACCGCACACACGCTGAAGGAACGCGACGTGATTCTTTGCACCATGCGTGAGGCCCGGTCGGGGTGCAAAAGAACTTCCTTGTCCTCTTCCCCGTCACGCCGCTTCCCAATCGAGGTAGTGTTGCCAAACCTGCAGTCCGTCTGGGACATACTCCCACTTCCCTTCCGATACCTTGGACACAACCTGTTGAATTACGCGATGCATAGTGAAAGAGGCGGGAGACAAATTGAAACGTGAAATGCACGATGATCCACAAGGCAGCATATTCGTTCAATTCTCACCCCAAATGCACGAATGCTCGGGCTGAAACACCAAAAAGCACGTAAGCAAGCTGCCTCAACCGAAACGTTCTACTGCTGCACCAGAACACCGACAGCGGCGATGTGTACGTTTGATCCTCGGGAAGGTTTTCGCATTGTCCTCACCTGAAACGTAGAAAAACCACCACCGCGCCGACACCAAAGGGGCGGTTCGTCGTTTTCGCACAGAGTAGCAAACAAGACGACGATAATATTCTACGCATCGTGAGTGGCCAACTGTCGGTAAGTGCCTACCTCCTGCCACGGCACGTAGCTCCCCCACTCCACCTCATCCTCCTGCCACTTCACGGTTTCCCCGGCGACTACGCGGTAGTCGAACACAGACACGAAGCAGCGATTGTGGCCCGTCTGAACCAGGCATTCCCCCCGATATCGCATGGAGGTAGTCTTCAGACCGTCGTCCCCTGCAATTTTGGGAGCGTACCACCATGCACATAAGTTTCAGAAAGTCGGTTCAACAATAGAGCGCTACAGTACTACACATTGGTCGCCGCCCAGGACACAGAACGGAAGGAAGCAGTTCACCTTGATTCTCAGGGGCGCTGCCGCTGCTGCCGTAGGGGCCTAGCCCAAGCTCCTCCCCGAGCTCTCGAAGCGCGGTGGTCAACGGCGGCTCCATGGTGCCCGACACCCCGCCGATGAACATGCTATACATGGAAGGGAACACCCTCTTTGTTGACGTTCGGCGATTGCAGTAAACCTCTCCCTACGTAGCACGGAAAGGGTAGAGGTAACAGAGAGGAGGCGTCTGGGGGACGTGAGGGCGCAATAAACCACCGTCGTCGGTCGCGTGAGAGGGTAGCAACGGAACAGAGACCGAACGTGAAGAGATAAATGAGAGGTGCTTGTGCTTTGGGGGCAGGTCAAAGGGGGGCGTGGGTAGATTCGGGTGGGGTGGGGTCGAGCGGCGGTGATGGTGTTTGGTGATGGGCTTGCTTCTCAGGCTATTCCTAGTGGGAGGTACAACAAGCAGGTTCTGACCAAAACACGCCGTCCTCGCCTTAGCGTCCCTGACCATAACCCCAGCCCCGCGATGAAGCACATTGTTAGAATGCACCACCGGCCTGGGCAGCGCGCAGATAACCCTCCCTCTCGTGTCAACCCAGTCGACTAGCTCCCCCTCCCCCTCCTCGTTTGCTGGCCGCCCTGCCGCTTCCGCGCCCGCTAGGCCTCCAAGCCAATCTCGACCCGTCGCTGCAGCTGCCGCCGCCGGACCGCTGAGCCAGCCGTGTAGGGCTCTGGTGAGAAGCCTGGTCGTTGGTCGGTCTACCTCGCGCCCGGTGCGCACACAGATGTAGGTATCGAGAGTCGGGCCGGTGGCGGTGGGCGAGTCCAGTGCTCCAAAGAAGCCGAGAATGTCGCCGTCTGCTTCCAAGTCCTCGACGACCAGAACTCTGTTGTCTACGCCAGCATGAGCGTGAGTGCCGTCGCCTGCCCACGTATCCGATGGGCGACGGGGGTCGTCGAACGAACCCAAGCGACAAGATTCAAGGGGAGAACACCCGCATTTTGGCCATTTCACGCCCCTAAACACCACCATCACCCGCAACACCGAGTTTCCCTTGTCTTACAATCCAAGCCCGTCGACAAGATTTCGTGCTTCATCGCGTAGCTCACCGTACATCACACACTCTTTTGTTGGTGTACGTCTTACCGTTGACCGCAGCAGCGGCAAGAGTAGCAGCGTGTCGCGCCCGCTCCTCTTTTCCTTCTTGCTGGCCGTCAAGCACCAACACATCCTGCCAGCTGGCGTCCATCAGGCTCTCCGACTCGCGCCTGGGTCGTCCTGCGTACGGCACCTCCAGCGGTGAGAAACTTGCGGCGAGATAGAAATGAGTTACCGGCAATTTTTATCTCACACATTCCTTCCTCTCTTACCTGTATTCCCCAAAGAACGTCTCGAAATCGCTTGCCCCAGCTACCAGTTCAGGCGGCGCCGCCCCTGCCGTTGCTACTTCCTCGGCGTATCCTGTTTCCGTTGTCATCACTGCACTCCGTAGGCTTGGCCACAGGCAACGCGATGTACTAGGAGTACGAGCCCGGCGGCGCAAGGAACAAGTTCTAAGGACCCTACTTCTCCAGCTGCAACACGAGCTGACAGCGGCGGAGATGAGACAAGCGCTGCTCGCACTGCTGTAGGGTGGGGCTACGAAAAGGGTTGCCGCCGCCGCTGATGATGCTGCCGGGGTCGAGAGCAAGCCGCCGGCTGCTACGGCTAGACACACAACGCTGCTGCTGTTGCTGTATCTCTCGCTGAAAACTCTCGTCGTTGCACACCAAACCATTGTTTGCGCCACGACTCTCTTATGTCTTCCTCCCTCTGTCCTGCCCACGCGCGCCCCACGCCTACCCCGACGGCCTGGTCTTGCTTGGACAAACAACAAACATGCTGTTCGTCACCCGTGGATCTCCGCAATCTACGATCAACGGGTTTCCACCCACTTGCCTTTCTCTCTACGTAGTATAATAATAAAAAAATGTAGTGCAAGTAGCGCCGCCGTGAGGATCCTCGTAACTCACAACCGAAGTGCTCTGCGAGACGGCTACCACCTCGATTCGAGACGACTGCGACATAAGCGAATATCCTGACTGATCACCGGACCCGCTTGTGAGCGTTGCAGAGGTGTGGTACATACACAAATGTTGCCAGAACGTAATGTTTCAAGCTGCTGTCAGCACGAAGTTCCCCTTCCGACATACGCAGCGCGTTGCACCTTCAGGTGTATGCTGCCTGCCGTGCATAGCCTACCTCAGCTTTGACTGGTCATTATTTGCTTGGCCTGTTAGCTTGAGCGCAGGCCCTCTTTCTGGTGATCTACGAGTCGCATGGCGACCTCTTCGTATACCCTAAAAACGCGAGTGCTTCCCTCGCGGATTTTAAACTTCAACTCCGGAAGGAAGATCTGCTTGCCATCCCTGCTGCCTCTGTCAAGCAGTTGTGTTGGTGTCCGTCCCCCTTTACTCTCTTCCTCTGTGTTCAACCAAAAGTGTTGTCAGCGGCAAGAGCATATGCACAGTAGTTCCGATGTGGCATCTGCATGGCTCTAACCGGCTCTGTTTGTCCTGTAGATGAAGATATGAACACGCATGGAAGAGAGACAGATCGTCTATCAACAACGTGTCAGTCAAAAGAGGGCGGCGCGCTCGCTCTCTTCCCACTTTCCGGTAACATAATACGACTAGGACAGGAGCGGTTGAGTACGAATCTTCCCTCACAGACAGCAGCGGTCGCATGGCGACTGCGTCTAGCGCGTTTCTCGGCATTTTGGCCAACGCGCGTGGCGTGCTGTGCTTGCCTCGAGGCAATCCGCCATCGGAGAAATGAAAAATTCTCCACAGCTTTCACAGCAGCAGCAGAGGAGCAACCGCGTTCATCATCATCTAGACAGACTGGCGTGGTATCCAGACACACAGAAAACCCCGATTTTTTTTAGATGGTGTTGCTCATGTTTTTTTTTTCTCTCTCTCTCCTTGCCCAGAACGCCCGGCGGTTTGTTCGGCGGCTTGTTGCGTGCTTTCTGTTGTAGCGGTGTTCGCTCGTTCTGCTGGTGTTGTGACACGCAGCGACCGGAAGAATATTCCCCAAGACGAGGTTGTTCCACCATTTTCCCGTGTCCCACCCGCGCGTAGCGGGGTATTTTCTATACAAGTACGGAAGGTTGGTTGGAGCGATGCCTACGGTAGCAGAATACGGTAGTAGGAACAGGTAAAAAAAGATTTTTTTCAAAGATCCCAACGCGAGCTCGCCGTTCTGAGTGTTAGTGGTTTCGATGCGCTGCCCATGGCTCTATGGACAGCAGCAGCTCTCCCCACCTGCGTTTCCTCTGAGACTGTTATGTACGCATGATGGACATTCCTCATGGGACAAACGTTGTTACTGTGTAGGAGCTCCAATGGTGGAGATTGACAAATCAAGTTGGCTGTAAGCCCTGCGTGTGGTTCGTCTCCATGGTGTGACGGTTTGAAGCGGAGAATTTGGCCGTAGAGGCACATGAGCGCGAAGAGCATTGAAAGGGTCGATGACGTTAACGTCTCGGCGAACGTGATGTTGTTGTTGTTGTTGCTGTTTCTCACATTAGCTCTAAAAAAGAAAGATTGGGAGCCCGTGGTCTCAAAACCCGGCATACACGACCCCACGAAGAAACAGAAAAAAATAGGGTACAAAAACCACTCGGAAGAGAAACAAAATGATAGAAAGAAAGACCAGCTACCGCACCAAACGAGAAAGAGCGTCGAGGAGACCGATCAAAATAAAAT